GACACAAAGGCGGAAATAAGGTGAGGTGAGTACTGTGAAAGTGGTGGAATATGAAGTACAGTGGGATGATGATAGTTTGAAGTCAGAAGTCAACTTCCGGTTAATTGGCTTTTTCGCCGTATGAGTATACGTTGCCTAGGCTGCACCACGTGGAGGTAAGTCTATCGCACACCCCGGTTCAAAATTATTAATGTTAATTATTTCTCCCAACGAAATCACCTTTTCCGCAACAAAGACAAAGTACCATTTTTAAGTTAATCATGAGAATGTTTTATAACTAATTTTTAATAGTGCATATGTGATTGCTTCCGATTACTTTGACGTTTGCGATTAATTTATTGTACTTTAGACAGCCTTATGGCGAGTTTGTAAAATTCATTGTCTTCGGTTTAACTTCAGGCTTTTATTTCTCCCGCTTTTATTACATTTAGTTCTTCTTTCGTCGGGGTGCGCGATAGACTTACCTCCACGTGGTGCACCTTGGGCAACCTGTACTCATACAGCAAAAAGTCTATGAATCGGCAGTTGACTTCTGACTTCAAACTACCATGACCCCACTGTATGTCATATTCGACCACTTCCACAGTACTCGCCCCACCTTAACGTTTTTCTGCCTTCGTGCCTGTCACTTTCACTCTTCTGCTCCCCTTCTCGACTTTTAGTGACTTTGTCTGTTCCTCCTCTCTGATAAACTCGAAGTCAACTAAAGGGCTTATGATAACTATCATTTAGCCTATCATTTGATATAAATAAATTATGTGAAGTTGCTAAGACGTTGGAAAGATGATGACTCAGTAAAAATCTAAAATCACATTAGATACTAACCTATCACGGGCCATCCTACGGTGCTTATTTATTTACCGAATGCAAGTTAAATCTCCTTGCATTTGATAAATTTCAAAACAATTTTTTTTTGCAAAAATATTTTGCCCCGTTTGCCCTTCTGTGGCCAAAAATAAATTGCATGCGAATTTTGCGAAGCCAATTTGTCACTGTCTACTTCCGCAATTATCCCAGAAGTCATTTAAAAAGGTAACATTATTCCAAATAAAAATAATCTGGTCAAATTAATTAAGCTGACTTGGAACAGCAACAGAGAAATATTAATAAGATGAAAATAATGAAGCATTGAAAATGGCAAAAACGTTGAATGAAGAGAGTATATGAAACCAATTCGTGTCCTGATGATGGAGGTTATTTCTTTCACATCTGCTGTTCCACGGTTTTCGGAATTCCACAGAGGTGAATGATCTTGTCTTAAAGATGATGCTCTATTGTCGCCTTACAAAGACGAGCTTGGGAGTCAGTAGTGAGTGGGTTGTTAGTCGGTCCCAAAAGCACGTTCTCAGACACACCCAATTGCGTCGTACAATACGTCTCCCACACTTCAACCTAGAAATTTTCCGAAATACTCAGCAAATAGCTAATACGTTATCCGTACATAGAAATCTCGTCTTTATCCTATTCCCATCGATAATATGGGAATTAAATTCCAAATTTGTACTAGTATGTTTGTTAAGATGGCGCAGTTGATATGTGCTTCAATTGTTTCATTTTATCACGCTAAAGAGCTCTGTTACTTTGACAACTAGGCAAGGTGCCTAGACAGTATTAAAAGTAGCCACAAACTCCAAAATTCGATAGCTTTTATCTATTTTCTTGAATGTTTGAATGTCTTCAACTTTTTCTAAGATTACTACTGCGTATAAGCTTTTTTAGAATCTAATTAGGATCATCCTATTATTGTTTGATTTCACATCCACTAATTTTCGAAGTCATCCTGGAACTTAACTTAAATCTGACGGGGGGGGGGCGGCAGGATCAAATAAGTTCGATGTGGTCAACTAATCCACACATCTTCAACGATATTTTATGCCTTATCTTATAGGCAAGACTTTGCGGTGTCTTGAACTCTCCTGCCCCTTCGCAGCTTCTTCTTACACACGATTCCTCTTTGTATCCGCCAAAGCACCCTAGCTTTCGAGATTAGACGTCGACTTGGTGGAAAGTTGTCCCTCATTGCCAGCATCTCTTGCCTCTATTAGCTATAGCCTTGGCTTGATATTTAAGAGGGTACTTTAAAGATTACGACTGATTTCTGAGCATTTCACTCAAGTTGCGGTAAAATCAAGCCCCGTCTCGTTTCGTGTTTAAATAATAACAATAGGCACCCGTGTTCAGTGTGTATACGCAATCACGTATTATTTTGAATATCAAATGGTTCACTCGTTGGTCTATTCCTATGTTCGATTCCCGAGAGCTCCTTGTTTCCCTAGACGCATTACGGAGATTTTTATAGCTCCAAACGGCTCATTGGTTTCAGCTGATTCGGCTGATTCGCTTGCTCCTATAAAGCATTTATAAGTTATTGCTAATAGATACTTTTCAAAGCAAAATGTGGGTTGACTTGTTAAATAACTTTCAAAAATTCATTAAATTCTTGTGGCTCTATCTTGATGATTTCAGGGTGCGCAATAGACTTACCTCTACGTGGTGCACCCTGGGCAACGTATGCTTATGCGGCAAAAAAGTCTATTGATCGGCAGTTGACTTCTGACTTCAAACTTCTGTGGTCCGACTATTTTTCATATTCGACCCCTTTCAAAGTACTCATTTTACCTTTTTATGCCTTTGTGTCTGTCTGTCTGTCTCTTTTACATACCTTTTTAATGCCTTTGTGTCTGTCTGTCTGTCTCTTTTACATCTGTGAAACATTTCCCCTGTCGAATTTTTCTCACTTTAATGTTCCTCCCTGGGGTGTGTGATAGACTTTGTGTCAGTCTGTCTGTCTCTTTTACATCTGTGAATCACTCTTCTGTTTACCCCTCTCGATTTTTTGCCACTTTGATGTTCATTTTCCTTTCCCACCCCTTGACTTTCTTCTACTTTGATGGACCTTCCCTCTTCTACCCCTCGACTTTCTGCTACTTTGATGCACCTTCCCTCAACCCTTGGACTTTCTGCTACTTTGATGAACCTTCCTTCTGTGAAGGCCTGTCTCTTTTACGTCTGTGAATCATTATTCTGTCCCCCTCTCTCGACTTTTTGCCACTTTGGTGTTCCTCTTCCTTTCTGTATGTATGACTTTTTGCCACTTTGGTGTTCCTCATCCTTTCTGTGAAGGATTTTTGCCACTTTGATGTTCATCTTCCTTTCTGTGAAGCACCAGTTGGATGTTCATCTTCCTTTCTGTGAAGCCTGAAGTTTCACTTTGGTGTTCCTCTTCCTTTCTGTGAAGCCCAAAGTCACACTTTGATGTTCCTTCTCCTCTCTTTCAAAACGCCTGCCATTTGATATAAATATATCTTGATGATTTCTTCCTCGCCCTATTTGTTTACTTGGACTGTTTTATTCAAGACAATAGCAACTTCTTGGTTGCCTCTCTTCGTCAATCGGAACGCCCCTACTGCCCCATTTACATGACAATGACATCTTTTGTTACCTCACTGCAGGTCGTCTCAAATTCTACTCAAATTAAATAAGTACCTTTGAAAGCTGAATTGTTGAGATATCAAGCAGTGAAAGTCAATTAGTGAAGGCACGAACCTTCTTGCTTCAAAAACTATTGACCAATTACCATTCGAGTCATACATTATATGTTATATGGCCCATCGTTGCATGGAAATCAAGGCCTTTCACCCTAATTTCAGCATTACACACCAGAAGCTGATTTTATAAACATTGCTAGCACCTATTATTAAATTGAAAAATGGCCTTGAAGCAGCAGTGACATTTACTAGGGCTTTGTTTCGCCTTTATGTCACAGTTGACTTCCCCTTTTCAAACAAACGAGACTGCATCACGAAACGTCTTTTGAACTGATGAAGGCTCTGTGCTATCAAAACTTCGATCAATTTATGCAATCCAGTGTATTTTAATTGCCAATCATAATATGAGGGGTTGGGGAATGCATTCAATCAATTATTTCTAGCTAATCAATTCCACAATTAAGGACAAACTTCAAGTAGGCATGTTTTTTACTGATCCCAATTCGATCCCTTTCCCATCGTTCTGAAGGAAATTCCATATGTAAATGTCCTTTGTTTACATTAAAAGTAAGCAAAAGCATTAGAATAATTGCAGTTATGGAGTAATTCATAAAAATATTTCCCAGATGTTTTTTTCTTCATATTTTGTTTGGTGACTGTTAGAAAATGCCATAATTGGTGAAAAAGTCGCCGTAGCTTGGAATTCGTAGTTGAAAATGTTAATTAAAATAATGCTTCACTTAAAAAACGATTTAAAAATGAACTTGGTATTCAATGCGACTTTAGAACATTCAAGGCACCCTCAAGATACCCTCAAAAATACTTGCAAAGAATATTTAAAATGAAAGAATCCTGGCTTAAAGCTCTTTTATATTTAAATACGGGGGTGTGCGATAGACTTACCTCCACGTGGTCCACCCTGGGCAACGTATACCCATACGACAAAAAAGTCTATTAACCGACAGTTGACTTCTGGCTCCTAACTACCATCACCCCACTGTATGTCATATTCGACTACTTCTACAGCACTCACCTCACCTTTTTTCTACCTTTGTGTCTGTCTTTTTTACACCATTGAAATACTCTTCTGTCCCTCCCTCTCGAATTTTTTTCACTTTGATATTTCTTCTTTGTGCGGGCTGAAGTCACCTAAAGGGCCAATGAAACTATCAAAATGCCTGCCATTTGTTATAAATAAAATATTCAAATACAAAATTTAATTTCAATATATATAACCATACTCTGGGTTTTAAATGCTTATATGCATTAATGCATTTATATTTAGTAGAAAATGTACTTATAGCATTATTTTGATGCAATAGGTTCTGCATTAGTGTAGCAAGTTATGACACTAGTTCAGTAATATGATTGGTGCATTCGCTAAATTGTTGGCCAATAGGGAAATAACCCTCCACCAACCAAAAGGTAGAGTCACACTTGCGCACTCGAGTGCTAACTAAACCATGACACAAAACATGCTTACTTAGTTCAATAAGTCAAGGACTAAACGAAATGAATGCCTACTTAGGTTGTGTATCTGGCACAGACTCCCGCGGATCGGTATCCTACGGGGTCCGAAATCGCGTTCCAGGCAGCTCCCATTCAACAGCTCTTGCCGCAACTCTCGATCGACTTGCCTCCTCCGCCAACTGCAATGCAAATGGCTCAGCCCATCTTGGACGAAATAACAGTGTCGATGCTGTTCAGACAATAATTCTCAAACGAAGCAGCATGGACACTCCTTGGGGCTTTCGAATACAAGGGGGACAGGATTATAATCTTCAGCTAACTGTCAAGAAGGCATGTGCAATAGCGTTAACTTTGTGCATTTATATTCCTAGTTCTTTTTCACTTCAATTATATTTTAACACATTTAAATAGGGTAATACATAATTTTTTGTTTTTGCTTGATGTTTCCGCTGTTAATGTAGGGATGTAATGCATATTGTCAATTCTCGGTTTGATATTGGAAACCCTAGTAGATAATTAGTGGCAAAAGCGATGTGCTTTTTTTCTCTCACACATATGCCAACGCCATTGGAAGAATAGCAGCATTTGGAATTACCAATCCACAGTTAATTGCATCTAAATTTTTGCCAACTTTTCGTTTGCTTCACACGAATGAAGTTATTTATACAAATCGTTAACATTTCTAAAGTTGCCTCTGCTTGCCCTGAAGTCCAAAAGTTGTTTTTCCCAAAATACAGAATAAATTAATTTAAAATATACTAACAATTTATTAAGTAGGTTGATTGGGGACCTAATTTTATTTCAAACAAAACTATCTTATTATCTGTCATTTCAACTTTTAGTAATTAAATATTACATCAGAGCAAGAAATCGAAAACCGCAGAATTCCAATAAAATTGGTTGTATTGTGTTACCTAAATAATTATATTTTCATTGATTTCAAATTAATTGCGTAAAATAAAGAATTCTTCTTTAATTAGCATTTCCAGAGACAGTAGCAATTAGCTTATTTTATTTGGTTTTATTTGAAAAAAACCCTTTTTCATGACACAGGTATTCTTTGAATTTAAGTTTTTGAACATGCAATTTGCTTTTTGATTTGCATTATTTTAGGAAGAATTTACCCGAATTAAAATTACATGTGCTTTGAAGAATTTTTCAAGTATTTATTGGCACAAAAAATTATCAAAGTTAATTAAAAATAATTAGATTGATAAGTTTTGGCCTTTTTAAGATGACTAGAAATGCTCATTCGAACGAAAGTTATTTTAATTTTTTTTCAAAAAGAAAATGGCATTATTTATAAATTTAGATATTTTTGGTTAAAAATTCAATTTTTAAATCATTACAAATTGATTACCACGGATTAGTTATTATTTGGCAAAATTTTACTTAAAGTGATCTGATAAAGGGAAATTTAACCCTTGTACTCACCAAGGCATTTATTAAATTTTTCAAATTTACTGTTACGCCGCTCTATATTAAAACATTTTTATTTATATCAAATGGCAGGCGTCTTGATGGTTAT